TTGCATTTTGCAGGGCGGAACACAATCTACAGGAGCTTGATATAAGGTAATAACTGTGGTGAGCAAGCATCACCATCAGAACATACCTCAGGATCGTTAAACCCCAATCACAAAACCAGCACCTTTTGGGCTCATAACAAAAATTGTAACTACATTACTGACCAGAGTTAAGCACCCACTTTTGTGAAGATAATCTGAGGAAAGGAAAAGGTCAGGCTGCCCTCTGGAAATAGCTGAGGCTGGTTTAAGGTACAGTTTCTAGCTCAGTGCCTGTATGTTAACCTGGGACACACTCAACCCCTCTCCGCTGTGGCCTACTAGCTTCTGAATTTTCTGTTTTCCAAAATACAACACAGATTTATTCCTGTCCCGTTGTGCTGTCTCTGCGGTCAGCTGCTCCCATCCCACCCCGGGCCATCCCCAGTTCTCAGGCGCCACTGGAGGCTCTTAAGCCCTTGCCTCCTCCCTCGGCCTCCATCTGGCTGCCTCCCCTCCGGCACTGCTGAAGCTGCCATCTCAGAGGTTAGGGTGACATTCTCATTGCCAAGTCCTGGGTTCAGCCTTATCTTCCTGGACCTTGCTCAATTAATCATCATTCCCGCCACGTCTCCAGGCACCTTCCTCTCAGTCCATAAACATGCTCGAATTTCTGGTAGCCTTAAAAAAATAATACAAATATGAATAACCTTGGCTTCACGTTGCTCTCCAGCAACTGTCGCATTTCTGGAATCCCAGCTTCTGAGAAGCCAAGAGTTTGGACACTGGAGACTTCAGCTCCCTGTTCTGTCACTTCCAACTGTGTGACCTTTTGCTTAACCTTTTCTGTGCCTTAGTTTCCTCCTCTGTAAAAAAAAAAAAGGCTCTGGATAATACCTACCTCCAGGTTGTTGTGAGAATTAAATGCATTAATGCAGAAACTTGCCATACAGAAGGTGAGCGATAAATGTTAACACTGGGAGTCCTACAGTCTCACCTCCCTTTCATCCTTCAATGTAGCAGAACCGGGCTCAGGCCCTACCACTCTGTAAATGTCACCAATGACCTACTACTTGTCAGTCCATGGTGCTCTGTTGCATTTGACATTATTAGTTACTTCCTCCTTGCAATATTTCAAATCTCATCTACTACCACTTCCTGCTACACACATCATCATGCCCTAGTTACTCTGAATGAACACACAACACACACACACACAACTAGGGTTTGTTTCTTACCTTCGAGTCTCTGCTGTTGCTGAAACTGCACCACTGCGTTACCACAGAAGGCACCTTCTCACCTTCAGTGGCCAACCCTGCCTTGTCCCCCTCCCCCTCCAGATCCTCCTCTCCCTGCTGCCTTACCCTGGTTAACTTCCTCTTATCCTTGTCCTCACTTCCCCAGAAATCCCTCCTTAACACCCTAAGTTAGCTGCCCCTTCCTGTGCTTCCATGACACTTACGTAGCTCTCACACTACATTATACCTCGGTCCCCCTAAAATGACGATGAGCAAGCTGGTACAACTACCAGAATCATTTCTTCTTCTCCCTGGAGTTTCCAGCACTTGATACAGTGCCAGATACACAGTAGGAACTCAGTAAATGTTTATGGAATTAAATGCTCAATTAACAGATATGAATACTCATCTATATCCCCTGAGTCTAAGGCAGTAGGATTCAGAGCAATTAGACTTATAGGGAGTTAAGTTAGAAAGAAATCAGGGATGGGGGAGAGTGTAGCTCAGTGGTAGAGCACATGCCTAGCATGCACAAGGTCTTGGGTTCAATCCCCAGTACCTCCATTAAAATAAATCAACCTAATTACCGCCCTCCGAAGAAAAAGAAAAGAAATTTTTAAAGAAAGAAATCAAAAGCAAGGGGGGAAATGCACAAGGTCTGACAATGTGTGGTAAGGAAGTTGGGGGAGGCAAGCAGCATTTGGCAGGAGTAAGAGGGGCTGTCGTGTGCAGAAACACTCAACATGAAGAGGCAGTGGCCTTGGGCACTTAAGCTCTCCCTAAACTCTTAAGTTCTTACAAAATCATTAGCTAAAAGGAAAGCAGAAGTAATGTAAAGTATGTTCACGTTCCTTCTTGCTTCTTTCCAAAAGAGCACAGTTAAAACTATGATATATGCTGACTCTTTGTTTCCTCCAGATACATGCTATTTGTTTTTATGCTAGAAAAATGAGAAAAAAAAATTTGTTTTCAAAAATGGAGGAGAAATTCAGAACATTCTCTGCAGGCTGATACAGATTCCCATCGGCACAGTTCATTATCTACTTGGGGGCATCTCCTTTGCCAGCCCCTATTATACCCTCAAGCAAAGGACTCAAAGAATGTAGGCATTTTTAGTATCTTTGTTATCACTGCTTTTGTCTCTGACAGTAGTAATTATTAAGAGAGATTAACCACTCCTAGAACAAGTTATCACCTAAAAAGTAAGAGGTATTGAGCATTAGTACTAATAATTAAATTTTAAAAAATCAGTCTTCAGTTTTTAAAAAAACAGATAATGTGTTTACATAGTTCAAAATTCAAAATATAAAAGAGTGTACAATAAAATTTTTTCTTCAACTCTGTCCTTTAAGAGGTCTTCTTCTATACAGAAGAATACACACACATATATATTTTTTCCTACTGCCTGCTTTTTGCTAGATCCTACTATACACCCTATCTTGCACCTTGTTTTTTTCACCTAACAATCTGTTTTCACCTAACAATCAGTACAAATAGAAAATGTCCCATTTTATTTGTTACATTATATAGACAAACCACAATTTATTTAACCACTTCCCTACTCATAGACCTATAGGTTGCTCCCAATATTTTGAAACTCAAACGGTGCTGTAAGGAATAACTTCTACATACATCATTTTGCACATGTGCCAGAATATCTGCAGCATAAATTCCTAGAAGTGGATTAGCTGAGCCAAAGGATCTATGCATCTATGATCTTGTCAGCTGTTGCCAGTGTTCTCTGCAGGGAGGCTGCTGTACCACTTCACCCTTCCACCAGCTCCCTTATGCCTCCACCAACAGTGTCAGCTGACCTTCTAGGCTTTGCCAATTTAGAAGGTGACAAATAACAACTCAGTGTATTCAAGCTTGTGTTTTTCTTATCACAAGTGTGGCTGTACTTTTTTTTTTTTGAGTCCTCAGTGCTATTTATACTTTCCTCCCTCTAAGTATAAAATAATGATAACAATAATAATAATAGCTAACACTCATGGGATGGCTTGCCATCTGCCAGGTACGTTACAGTTCTGCCCCTCAACAGTTCTGCATTGTAGGGGTGTTTATTATCACCAATTTACAGAGAGGGAAACTGAGGCTTGGGAGTGGAAGTTGCTTGCCTAGCGTCTCACAGCAAAGTGGCCGAGCCAGGGCTTGAACCCAGGCTCCTCTGACCACAAAGCCCATGTTCTGAAAAACTAGGCGACTTCCCCTATTACTCAACAACCACATCAAAAATAGAGGACCTGGGGTGTTGACTCTCAGATTCCCTCCCTGAGATTCCAAGGAAGTAGCTTGCTGGGGTCTTCTCACACTCTTGCGTCCTTTCATCTCCCCTCAGGTTCTTGCTTCTTTTCAAGATGTGCTGTAAGGGGCCCACACAGCTGACAAGACACTGACGGAAGCCTCCCAGAAGTGCAGCCACGTGAGAGGAGTAAGTGGCATTTAAGTGGACACGAGCTCACTAACAGCAGCCTCAGGCCTACAAGTAAATTTCATTCATTCAGCAAACATTTACTGACCATCCGCTGTGTGTCCAGCACTGTTCCAGGCACTCAAATGTGGCAGTGAACAAGACAAACCAGGTCCTGGTTCTCCTAAAACTTGCATTACACTGGACAGTAAATAAACAAGAAAAAAAAAGGATAGTAATAAGTACTATACAGAGGGTTAAAACCGTGTAATTTGGTAAAGAGAGGCTGCTTTGGATTGGTTAGTTGAAGGCCTCTCTAAAGGAGGTGCCGGTTATACTGAGAAGTAAATGATGTGGGGGAAGCAGCTGTGGACGTTGAGGGGAAGAGCAGTTCAGGCAGAGGAGCAGCCAGTGCAAAGGTGCCGAGTTGGGAACAGGCTGGTGCATCTACCACCAAAGGGAAAGCCTGGAGGAAGAAGGAGGGGAGGTTCTGGCAGAGGCTGGAGTGGAAGGTGTGACCAGATCTCACCTCAGGGCTTTATGGACAGGAAAGAAAACCTGGATGGTACCAGGTCCAGTGGAAAGCAGTGGGAGGTTTATGTGGTGTGAGGGAGTGGGGAGAGGGGGGTGTGTATGTGTGTGACATAATCTGATTTAATTGTTCTTAAAAAACAATTACTCCAGCTGCCAGGAGGAGAGCAGATTGTAGAGAGGTGAGAAGGTAAATGTGGAGATGAGTTGGAGGCTATTGAGGTGGCTTGAACCAGAGATCATAAAGACTTAGACCTTCTCAAACTTTAGAGGGCATCAGAATCCTCTGGAAGGTCCCATCCTAAGAGTTTCTAACTCTGGAGAAGACCCCAAGATCTTTGCATTTCTAACAAGCTCCCAGGTGACGCTGATGCTGGTCTGCAAATTACACTTTGAGTAGCACTGGACTGACCGGAGATGGAAGAAGTAGACAGATTTCAATATAATTTTGGAAGCAGGGTCAACAGGATTTACGGATGGACTGCATCTGGGGGACGAGCGAAGCAGAGGAATCAAGGATGACTTTGGGGTTTTGGTTAAGCATCCAAGGAAGCAATTCAGGCATAGACGGAGACTAGAAAATGGACGGAGGGGCAGGTGGAGGGGGCGAAAACAAGAGTTCTGTTTGCGGCAGGTGAGGTGTGAGAGGCCTGGGACACATCCAAATGGAAATGTCAGTCATTCGGTGGTGAGTTCTGGTGTTAGAGTGAGAGGTCAGGACTGGGGAGACCTCAGCAGAAAGATGAAATTTAAAGTGATGGGGCTCTTCCTTGGCACTACCCACGGAGGTGGCAGCCATCTCCTAGCTGGCATCACGGCTGCCCTCAGACCCCTCGTGAAGCCAGGGATAGTCAAAAAGAGGACCAAGAAGCTCATCCGGCACCAGTCAGACCGATATGTCAAAATTAAGCGGAAGTGGCGGAAACCCAGAGGCATTGACCACAGAGTGCGCAGGAGGTTCAAGGGCCAGATCTTGATGCCCAGCATTGGCTACGGGACCAACAAGAACACAAAGCATGTGCTGCCCAGTGGCTTCCGCAAGTTCCTGGAGCTCGAAGTGCTGCTGATGTGCAACAAATCTTACTGTGCTGAGATTGCTCACAACGTCTCCTCCAAGAACCGCAAAGCCATTGTGGAGAGAGCAGCCCAGCTGGCCCCTAGAGTCACCAATCCCAATGCCAAGCTGCACAGCAAAGAGAACGAACAGACAGCTCATGCACATTGTATTTTCATACTCAAAAAAAAAAGTGATGGGACTGGATGCGATGGCTCAGGGAGAGGTTACACCTGGGGAGGAGAAAGAGCAGAGGACTTCGCCCTGGGCAGCAAGCATCTAAAGGTCAGGAAGGGCAGAGGGATCAGTGGGCAGGAGGACAACCCGGAGACTCAATGTCATTCGTGCCAAGAGCCGAAAGCCTTTTAGGAAGGACGGAATGGCCAGCAGTGCAGCTGGAGGCAAGGTGTGCTACGAGAGATCCAGAGAGCTCAGGAGAGCATCCTGGGGCCAAGACAAGAAGAACCAGCAAAATGACTGACGAACTTGAGAATCTGTAGCTCTCTTGTCACCTGAGATGGAGTCTTTAAAAGGCATGATTAACCATCAGCTTAAAGGAAAGGGCCCTACGCTTTTCTCTGGGGAAAGAAAAGACATGAGGAAGCCTCCGATATATTACAGCTCACTCTTCAGCCAGCCTCCTGTCCTGGAGTGGCGGCCGCGTTTAAGGAGGGAAAGGAACAGACAGAGTTCCGGGAATGGGGCCCGGAAAGGGGAGTATAGGTAGGACGATGTCTTGAGATTCAGAAATGACGACAGGTGTCTTCTCAGACGGAAAGGCTGTACCATTCTGGAACTGTCTTCACTTTCACCTCACAGAAACTAGCATCCCTGTTCCCGACCAAGAGCAATTCTTCACCCAGTGTTTGTGAGTCCGGTGTTTGTGGGCCGCCTGCCGAAGCTGAGCCCTGGCTCCACCGGCCGTCTCCTCCCTCGTCTGTATTTTGATGGTTTCCTCTGGCCTGGCTCCTTCCCCTCAGACTACAATAATGCCACTCCAGCCCAAAAGAAAGCCCTGTTCCTCCACCCTTCCTCCCCTGCAGCTCCTGCTTTCGTTGCTTTCACCCCAAACTTCCTACACCCATGCCGGTGCTTCCTCACTTTCTTTCTTGTCTGCACCCACTGGAATTTGGCTGTGGACACTGTCTCCAAAGCCACAGCCACTGCGTCAGAGTCATCAAACCCAGGGCCCACTCCTCCAGCTCCTTAACCTCAGCCCATCTCCCTGCAGCGTTTCACACAATGGCCACCCGCTCCTTCTGGAAATCTTTGCCTCCTCCTCCCAGGGTCCTCCCCATCCCACACCATGCCCTCCCCTCCCTCATCATGGCCTCGGAGGGCATGACCCTCTGAGTTCCATGACCGGTGGTCCTGTCTCCTCTGCCGTCTCTCAGATGACCTCATCTAGACCCTTCCACAATCACCTGGCTATGGTCTGATGATTGATGACAACTTATGCTGGTATTTCCAGCTGCCCATGTGAGAAGCCCATGTTCTGCAGGAGTGTCAAAGATGTCTGAAATGACCTAGACCTGCAGTTTGCACTTCATAAATGGATATTAAGAACACATTTATTGAATGAACTGTTTCCTGTTTGCCCACTCTTGCCTTCTACATGTTAAAGAAAAACCAATAAACAATAAACAAAACACAAACACGTCTTCCCCTTCCATCTGGATTAGTGGAATCACCTCACACCCTCCTCTCTCATACATCTAATCACTCACACAGTCTTGGTGATTCTGAGTCCAAAACGTTCCTGAAATTGCTCCTCTTTCCTCCTTTCCACAGCTACTCTGCTGCAATTATCCTCTTTTCAGCTGACTGACAGTAGCCTAACTCTGGTTCTCCAAGCTGGCTATGCATTAGAATCACATTAGAAAGAAAGATTTTGAAAGTCCTCATACCCAGCCCCACCCCAGACGAATTATCAGAATGCCTGAAGGTGAAGCTAGTGCATGGGTATTTCTAAAAGACTCTACAGATGATTATAATGTGCAGTCAGATTTGAGAACCACAGATAATTTCCTTCTCCAATATCCAGTATTTCCTTCCCTCCTCCTCAAAAAATCAAATATCAACACTCTTCTGCTGTAAAACTTCAGGTGACTTCCTGTATCTTACAGCTGGATTCTTAATGTGAATCCAGTTTTGAAGGATCTGTGAACTCTATTAAATTATACACAAAACAGTGCACATATGCAGAAGATTCATCCATTCTTAGAGGAGTCTGACTTGAAAAAGGTAAAGAACTATGACCCGGGTAGTAGTTAATAGTTATTCAACACCTACTGTGTGCCAGGCACTGTGGTACACACTTTACATACTAGCTCGTTAACATTCAAAACTGACCCATAAGTGTATTACCCCCATTTTACAGATGACGGTTAAGTAATGTCCCCGAGTCAGCAAGCCCTTGGAGTCTGGACTCACATGCAATTAGATTTACTCTTTACCACCTTCCTGGTTTGCAGGACTAACCCACACCCTTTAGCACAGCAGACAAGACCCCCTCCATCTAGGCTCCGGTTATCCACTTTCCTCCACTCTCTCGTCCATGCCTCTGTCCACTTCATGCTGTAATCACTCCCTAGCATGTCTTCCCTTCACTTCCCTGCCAGGCAGAATCCTATTTACACTTCAGAGCTAAGCACAAATGTCCCCTAAATTCTCTGAAACCTTCCCTCTCCTCTGATACTTTCCCAGAAGACACTGATTATGGCACTTTCAGCATCAGATGATAGTGGGGTTCACATCTCTCCCCTGCCAGGCAGAGTTCCTTGAAGGAAAGGACTGTGTCTTGTCCACCTGCAGCTCCCCCAACATCTCACAGTGCCCTGAGCCATAGGTGGGGCTCAATAAACATTTGTGGAAAATAATAAAATTTAAGTGTGCTTTCTACTTCTACTAGGGAGTACCCAGGTTCTAAACAGGGGGAGTAAGCCTTTGTCCTGTGACAATGACATTTGGGATGTTCTTATGTTGCCAGGATGTCCCCACCGATCTCATAGGGTTATTGTTAAGATTAGATGAAATAATTATTCAAAAGTACTTTGCATTGTTAAACACACTATGAAAAAGGCCTGATTATTAACTAACCCTCTGCTCACATCCAGGGTCTAACAGACCATTATGAATGTCAGGAAATGCAGATTAACAGTCACCAGCTACATGCCTTAAAAAAATGTCTGTCATCGCATTGGCATCTCCTGCTCTGAAACAAACAATTTCCTCATTGCTGTGGCATTCTGCACAGCTGAAAGAGCCACACCAGGAATGCTCAATTGAATTAATACTTACTTAAAATTAGTTTTGTAAAACATGCCTCAAGTGTCTTGAGAGGTTCAAACAAAATTGCTTCTATAAGGGTGAGAGAAAAGAGGCATCAGGAATGCAGTTGTACATACATGGGCAATTATGAAGTTCCTGATTTTGAAGATATCCTACTGAGCTAACCTGAAAAACAGAGCCTTTGGGAACGAATGAGATAAAATTGGTCTTTTAATGAAAATTACCAAATTGTGGCAAATTCATAAAGTTTGACCCTAACTTTGAATGTTTTCATACTTTCTAAGCACTCTTAAAGGTTACCCTAGTTTGTCCCACATGCTAAAGAAAGACTGGGATATTTCATTTGTGGGGAGTGATTTCCAAGCCCAACCCTACAGACTGCTGGCAGAGAAAATTGTTAACCTGATAATAGCATAATATGCCAAGCATCATAATGTGTGAGTCATCTGGCAACTTATGAACAAAACAAAGAAAGAAAGAAAGAAGGAAAGAAAGAAAGAAAGAAGGAAAGAAAGAAAGAAAAAGGCAAACTAAAAAACTGAAAGTCTATCAGAAGATGAAAGGACACATGACCTGATTCCCCATCAATGGATAACAATATCTAAATACTTTTTTGCTTGGAAAAGTGACAAGCTATGTTGTGTGTGTGTGTGTGTGTGTGTGTGTGTGTGTGTGTGTGTGTGTGTGTCTGTGTCTGTGCTCATGTGCATGTACTCACAGTAGAACATTAGAACACAGTCTCAAATTGAAGGTAAGGATCAGAAAGGCCTTACCAACTCCTGATCTCATCTAATTCTTCTTAGAGTATGATGAATGTAATAGTTAAGAGTTCTGACTTGGAAGTCAAACTGCTGGGTTTGAGTCCCACTTCTACTTCGGATGGCTGTAGAGATCGCTATTTGTTCTCTAGTGTCCATTCTCCTTTTCTCCCCTGAATTTTAACTGGACACGTGGCCCAAAAACTACATTTCCCAGCACCCTTTGCAATGAGTTGTAGTCATGTGACCACATTCTGGCCAATAGCATGTGAACACTATGTCCGCGCCCTTAAAGGAGCAGGCTGTGCCTCCATTTCCTTTCTTCTCCTGATGGAATACAGGAGTAACGCTGCTCCAGCTTTGACAAGAAGGAGTAGGGCAGCCCTTCTGATGGGGCAGAGCAACATGAAACAAGCCTGGGCCCCCAACAAGGCTGAGCTGCCTTATCAGCCCTGGACTGCTCCTGATGAGACTGACAGGAGAGAGAATTAAATGCCTCTCTTGTCTAAGCCATTGTTACTTTGGGCTTTGTTAGTAGCAAACTTGATATCCTAACAAACAGAGTAATTGCAATTGTGATTAAAAGCGAGTTACTTAACCTCTGCGGGACTTAGTTTTCTCATCTGTAAAATGAGGCAAATACAATAACAATGACAAAAATAAAAATATCTTCCTCATAAGGATAGGGCATGTCAAATGATTAGACAAGTTTCTGGTGTATGGTGAGTACTCTTAAGTGTTAGCTATTATTATTAAAGTAAAATTATGGGATGCCATTTATGGGCATGGCATGAGAGTAGCCTCCGGTGGTTTTAAGTTCATCCTCCATACGGCCATCCTTTTCTCGTTGTGTTTGATTACGAAACACTATTATATTTGGTGGGTAACAATTGTATCCTCTGAGCATTGCATGGTGTATTTTTTTAAACAGCTATCCTGTATGGATTCCAGAACAGGACTTTTATTAGTTAGGATCCAGATGAAGCTTAAAGTTATATAGACTTGAGAGAATTCAGTGATGGGTAGCTTTGAAACTCCATTAAAATCAGGAGTTATGTCTATAACAGGAAGCTGAGAGGTCACATGGAGAAGCTCAGTATGTTCAGGACTGATTTCATCTCCCAGGCCCTCCTCAAACTCAGTGCTCCTTCTTTATTATTACAATTCACTTTAACCACCAAAAGGAACTCAGCTGCAAGCACTGAAATCAAAAGCTTATCTGTGTCCCCTAGTCCTCGGTGCTGGGCTGCTTCCGGTGTGTGAAGTGAGGTGATGTTCCTCTCAAAGGCTCCCATGTTTGCAACCTGCAGAGAACTTTCTGCAAAGAAACGGTGATACCTAGAGCCTCTCTTTATAACGTAAAAGGTAATGTAATATCCCTGTTGGACTTGGGCTGAGGTCAGCTGGCAGGAAAGAACAGCAGCGCCCCTGCGGAGGCTCGGGGCCAGAGTGGGGTTCTGCTCTGGAGAGCTGGCTCTGAGAGCAGTCCCAGAGCTGGTGCCCTGAGGTCCAGCCACTCGACCCCATGGGCGGGCCCAGGGAAAATGGCTAATTGTGAATGGAAGAGTTGGTCGCTGAGGGTATGGGTGCTCTTGGTTGTGGAGCTGTCACATTTAAGCATCACATGGGGTGTCTCCCTGCTCAGCCTGAGACTGAGGGCCTCAGGGACACCCAAGCTTTCTGTTGTGCTCAGGGTCTGGCCTAGACTACTGTGCCGACTGGCAATCATGCCCCAACTACTGCAATAGGTCCAGGGATGGATGGAGCCTCCTGAGGAGATAAGACCTCTCCTGCGTCCTCCCCCATGACTTTCTGCTTGGAGTCCTTTAGCCAAAGGAGAAGGAAGGGCTCGTCCATAGACATAATGGTAACCAGGACTGACCCCTTAAGACTAAGTGAGCTCCCTGGGGTTTCCTACTACACACATCCTCAGAAAAGAAGGAAATAAAAGGAGGCAGGGAAGAATGTTTCATCATATTTGCTTGAATATACGTTTAAAGTATTTCTGGAAGGATACATAAGAAACTAGAACTGGTGGTTGCCTGCGCAGGTTGGGTGGGGATTGAATGGATGGCGCACACCCTACACTGTCTTCCTGTCCTGTCTTGAATTTTGAAGCATCTTTGAAACGGAGTCAAAAAATAAAATAGAATAAACTAAAATACCAGTAAATAAAGTAAAATGATCCATCTTCAGATAATTCAGGAAGGCTGAGCAAGGGTGTCCAGAGAAGAGGAAGCAGCTACAGACCCCATTCTCATCATGAGTCTGGGGGGGTCCCACAGCTTCATCACAGAAGAGGGCACGGGAGGACCAGCTGCCCTTTAGGTCCACAGAGCTGAAAAGAAATATGACATCA